TATTACCGTTTTTTCAAGATGCTTTTTCTAACAATGTAGTAATGATTGTGAAATCCATGTGGATCCCACCACAGGAAATGGAGCAGTTGTGTTCTCGTAACTGTGACTCACAGCAGCGAGCTCAGACATGCTCTGAGGCTGTTTACATACCTGGAAGTCAATTACTATAAAAACATCATCCAGAGAGAGAATCAACACATTAAGGAAGGTATCATAAATTCAAGCTTTAAAATTTGGAAGTGTGTTCAATCACCACTAAATACACAATGAAGAATTTGAAGAAGTACTGCAAGTGAAAAACAAACAAACAAAAACACTTCACTGTAAAATGATGATAAAGCCAGTATCTATCTATCTATCTATCTATCTATCTATCTATCTATCTATCTATCTATCTATCTATCTATCTATCTATCTATCTATCTATCTATCTATCTATCTAATTTATTTGATCACTTGTTTATGCACTGTATTGCAAAAAGTCACTCACTCAGTTTCATTTTTTATAGTGCCAAATCACAACAACAGCTGCCTCAGCCTCAACTATCATGTGACCCCCTTTGAGCAAATGCTACGGTGGCAGCGGGAAAGAAATACTCCCTTTTAACAGAAACAGAAACCTCCAGCAGAACAAGGCTCAGTGAGGGGGAGGACAGGAAAAGGACGTGCTGTGGAAGAGAGCCAGAGATTAATAATAACTAATGATTTAATACAGAGAGGTGTACAAACACAGTGAGTAATAAAGGTGACTGAAGAGGAAACACTCAGTGCATCATGAGAATCCCACAGCAGCATAGATCTATTGCAGCGCAATTAATGGAGGGTTCAGGGTCACCTGATCCAGCCCTAAGCCATATAAGCTTTATAAAAAAAAAGGGAAGTGTCAAGCCTAATCTTAAAAGTAGAGACGGTCTCTGTTTCCCATCTCTATCCAGTTCAGGGAATTCAGGTGTTCCAATCACTTCCATACGTACAGGTGTATGAAATCAAGCATGTAGACTGCTTCTACAAACATTTGTCAAAGAATGGGTCACTCTCAAGAGTTCAGTGAATTCCAGGGTGGTACCATGATCGGATGCAACCTGTGCAACAAGTCCAGTTGTTAAAATTTCCTCACTATTAAATTTTCCACTGTCTGCTCTTCGTGAGATTATAACAAAGTGGGAGTGATTGGGAACGACACACACAAATGATCCTTGCAAATGATATTTTTAGCTTGGCATGACTTGCAACGAGGGGGGATTCTGTGGAAAAACACCCGAGTCATGTGATTTATTTCACATTATTTCAATAAATTCTTCCTGTGTCAGTCATTTAAACCAGAGCATGGTTGAGGGCTTTGTTGCTTACACAGACCACAAAGAGAAAGTTCAGCCTTTCCTGTTCACACACTCACACACACTTTCTAGAAATTCCCAATCAGGGAAAAATGCTGTCGGTCAGGATGTGAGATTACAGTTATGGTTGTGGTGGTGAACCCCACACACTTTGAAGATATGTCAGCTGTTGGGAAATGTTTTGCTTTTCTTATTTCCTGAAGAATATCCTGTAGAGTTCTCAGTGATCACAACAGTCTCCTCAGATTTCAGCATTTAAGACCCTTTAAGTTGGTTTTTGGAGTTACTCTTTAGGATTTAGCTCATTTTTTTGACTTTATGAAAACTCAAGTTCAGTTGACTTCAGTTCATATGCAGATTGTGGTCATTTCTGTCACGGTTCTGGGTCATTTTGACCTAGCATTTTCTGTTTCTTATGTTTTGGAGTTTCTCTGTATTATGATTTATGTCTGATTCTTTAGCTTTCCTGTTTTGATGAGTGTTATAAATCGATGTTTCAGTTTGGTTCTGGTCATGAGTTTAGTTTGATGTTAATTCTTCTTTAAGTCTCGGTCATCTCTGGGTTCCATGTGTTATATTCTATAGTCTGCCTCTCAGTGTCAAGTCTGCGTCTTTGTGATTTGTTTCATGTTTTCTGTTTTATTTTGATAGTCCCAGTCTGATGTCAGTGTGTTCAGTTTTACTTCTCCCCTGTCTCGTTAGAATAATTTCTCCCAGCTGTGTCTGCCTCCTGTTTCCCATTCCCTGATTACTCTCCAGTGTATATAAGCCCTGTGTTTTCCTTTGCTCTCTGTTGTTTAGTTAATGTCTGCTCACCCTTATTCTTGCTTTGTGTTCGGTTTGCTTGCTTGCCTGTTAGTTTACTTGTTTTCCCAGTTTAGTTAGTTTTCTGTTCTTCTTATTTTCCTGTAGTAATCCGGGTATCTTCAGTTCACCTCTGCCTCCGCGAGTCCTGCCTTTGGGTTCAATCCTGCCTGCCTGCGCAGCACACAGCCATGACAATTTCTTTACATTCTGATCGCTTCAGTTACACTGGGGAGGTTTTAAACAAGATTATTTATCTAAAGTGCCCATAAAGGGATCATTAGCTGCTCATTCATAACACAAGATTATCTAAATGTTGTTACGCAAAAAAAATTAAAGTTGCCCTGATTTCAAAACCAATGTGACAGACTTGAGGTATTGAGGTATACTTAGGGGCTTAAACAGTGAATATTCAACAAGAAAGTTTTAAGAAAAAAGAACAAAAAGTCTGTGTGCTGAAAACCACCAAAATTCCAGTCAGAAACTGCACATTCACTGACGTGAGTAGAAAATTTGTACCAACAGACACATTTTATTAAATTTACCTTGAATGGTCATGTATAATAATATGAAAAACAAACATTCTGCTGACAGCTCCCTCTTGTGGTACTGAAGGGTATACAATGCCTTTTTACATGGCAAGACCAAGGTCTATTAAGTTCTCATTAGTGATCATGATAGACTACAGCTAGTAGTTTTGAAAGGGATTTGTTTAAAATTGGGACGATCTCTTAAAGTCCAGACTCATTTTTGGGGCCACTCTCGAGTGAGCACTGTAGGAGCTGTTGGCACTTCAGTGGTGGTTTTCTGCTTGTTTAGGTTGTACATCTTTTACCACCTATGTGGGTTTTGTGGAGACACTAATATGTGTAATTTCAGGAAGGGTAGAAACAAGTTTTTCTTTTTATGATGCACATCAAGTATAGCCAATTAAATTTTGACTTTAGGTTGTTTTTCTTTTTTGCCTTGTTATTTAAGATTTGCACTCTGAGATCAGCTAATGAGTCATCGAAATGTGAAAAGGTGCCTCAACTACTCAGTTGTAGTTAGAGTAGTTTGTGCTTGCAGCTCCTGATGATAAATCTACTGAAATAAAAGTCAATCAGGAAATGCAGGAGGAGTAGAGGAACTGCAGAAATACACCAAAGTACAACTGCTGTGTAAATGCACTCGTATACTTTGCACCCCAGACATGTAATGTGTGACAGCTCATTATCATCAGTACTGCAGTGCTGGCTCCATCTAGTGTTCACTATTCATGCAAACATCACCACAGCAGATCATCATGGTGCCGTAATGTTTCTCTCTAAACCAAAACTCTTTGAAGGTAACCAGGCAAAATCAAATGACATTAAAACACTTGAAGCTTCTTGTTTTATTGGTTTACAGCATTGAATCAATCGTAATTTCTTGGTTCTTATAAACAAATCAACAGCAAAGACCTCTCAAAGCTACATGGAACTATTCACATTTTTTCAATAAGGTAGGGCACTCATAAATACATAAAATACACATAAATCAGTTTGTCAGTTCTGAGATCCTCTATTGTTCATTTTCTCTTCGCTCCAACATGATCAGCTCAGTTTCTGTGATGATGGCAGTCTGATTCAGACAACAGCACTAAATTGAAAATGCAAACAGCTGACATTTGTACAGAATTCACAGGATTCACATGAAAATAAATCAGGCTTTAGAAAGGCTTTTCTCAAATGTCTGAGTGGAATTTCTAGATACATTTTCTTTATTTACACCGTTGGCTTTTAATTGTCCAACAAACAAAATGAACAAAAAGCAAATTTTAGACTGTTCTAGAGGCCAAGTGGGGACCTCATGGAAATCTCTGGATGACAGGGAGAAATGCGTATTCACTGACAGGTTTCTGTAAAGCCAGTTTTTAGCGTCACACTTCTCACAGTGTAACTCGAGCTCAGAGGGTAGTTATTGAGTGTCTGCAGGCAAGCCAGTATCTTCCATGCAAACTGCTGGCAACCTGCAATTGCAAGATTTTCGATGCAGCACTGTATAGCTTATCGTGACCAATTTCACCCTAGTAACCTCCATTAGTCACTCCAACCAGCCTGTAATGCAGAACAGGGATTCCATTACCTGTATTTTTATCAGTGTGTGAGTGATTGCTATTTAGGGGGTTGATGTGTGTTAGCAGTCCTCAACTTTTCCTAGTTGCTTCCTCTGGGGTAAACCAATGTCTCAATGTGGGGAGTTTAGGTTAGGGTGTTTCCAATATACATCACTGAATAAAGCACAAATGTTGTTCAAGCTGTTATTGGAGTTTGTATATGTGTAAATATGTCTTCTTTGTATTATATTTTGGTTTGATATTTGTGTATGTCCTTCGACGCATATATTAAACAAATATGTAAGACTGCTTTCTTCCATTTACGCAACATCTCTAAAATTAGAAATATCCTGTCTCTTAGTGACGCTGAAAAACTAGTTCATGCATTTATTACTTCCAGGCTGGACGACTGTAATTCATTATTATCAGGATGTCCTAAAAACTTGCTGAAAAGCCTTCAGCTAATCCAAAATGCTGCAGCAAGAGTGCTGACAGGGACTAGAAAGAGAGAGCATATTTCTCCTGTATTGGCTTCCCTTCATTGGCTTCCTGTTAAATCGAGAATTGAATTACAAATCCTGCTTCTCACATACAAGGTCTTAAATAATCAGGCCTCATCTTATCTTAATGACCTTGTAGTACCATATCACCCTATTAGAGCACTTCGCTCTCGCACTGCAGGCCTACTTGTTGTTCCTAGAGTATTTAAAAGTAGAATGGGAGGCAGAGCCTTCAGTTTGCAGGCCCCTCTTCTGTGGAACCAGCTTCCAGACTGGATTCGACTTTTGTTGTGATTTGGTGCTATATAAATAAAATTGAATTGAATGTGGATGTGTATTTTCTTCATTTGTTTCTTACCCCAGATCTGGGTGGTCTCACGTGAAGCGAGTATAAAAGGAAGCCAGCTGCAGTTGTAGGTGTTGGTTAGTGTGTTGGTGTTACGTTTTATTCGAGCCTGCTGTCGTCTCTTTAAATCCACAACTGACCGCTGGCCAAAGTGACACAGCTGTAACCAGTAAGGAATCACATATTTTCCTCTCGTGAGAAATGGTTGACAGGTGATTTGAACGCACAACCTTCCTGCAACAAGGTGACAGTGCTAACTAGCACCACAACACCACCAATGTACAGAACTGAACTAAAATGTATTGCATGCTTTTAATTGAAGCAAAACATGAAAACAGTAGAGCTCCTTTGAATATCTAGCGGGTCACTGTGTGGATGAGGGCAGCTTGTGTTCCATGCAGTAGTTAAGGTCTCTTCAAGTACGTGTGCAAGGCTTAAACGTGTTCACACATGCAGCCGCTATTTGGAAGTTTTCTGTGGTAACAAAATGTATGTGGACGCACAGGAAATGGGACTGTCTGGTTCCTCCTCTAACTCAGTTGTGGTAAAGGTCTCTTCAGGACTCTGTGGCTGGCATTCACTATCAATTATAGGCATCCCCTCCTGGATCTCGGGATGTGATTGTGACTCCTGGTCCTGTACTATCAGGTTATATGAAGGGTTAGGAAACACATCATTAATTGGAAAAGATGGCAAGCCTGGCTGAGATGTGAGGCCTGTAGTGGGTAAAGTAAGGCATGGCTGGAGTTTCTTCAGAGGCTTATTGTAGTAACCTTTGGGAGTCTGAGAGAAGGTAAAAGGCATGTAGTCCTGGCCAACAACAGGCTGTGGTGGTCTGAATTTATCATGTAGTTCAGGAACATCCAAGACCTCACTGTAGTAACTCTGATCAAAGGGAAGATGACGAACTGTATGTTCATCCTGAAAAATAGAGAAAATGACATCACATTCACAGGAAAGACATCTGGATCCATATCGATTATGATGATGCACTATACAAGGAAACCAATAAATAACAGAGTAGTACAAATGTGTAGTGGAGAGATTTAGCATTAGCTAGCTAATGCTATAATGTCCAAAACACTTCAAATGGCTCTAAAAGTGAATCAGCAAAAAGTGAGTCAGTGTGCAAACATTTGAATACCCTGTTAATGCGCCCAACTCTACATCTGAAATATATCTGAGAGTTAAGTTGAACTTAAGTTTGGCACCAGAAACGAATTGGTTAGATTTAGGAACACAAAAAAAAAAAAAACTTACCGGTGATGCCAGCCACTTTTCAGTCAGCACTGGTTTTGGGATTGGAGGATAGACTTTGTGCTTGATGCTGTTGGGAGAAAATGCATTAAAATAAATGTCGGACAATGATTGGAAGCAAAAGTGGACAATATTTCACAGAAAATGTATATGCATTGCTTACCATGCCCATTGTCTGTAGCAGATAATTGTGCTGACAGACAGAATAAGAAAAACTGCTCCCAGGGATATCAAGATCAGCATTATCAGTTGATCAGCTGGTGAAAACAATGAACCGCATCGAGTAAATCAAAGAAAATGACAAATGTTGACAGTCTTACTAAAGAAAATAGTCCATATGGGGAAATAATTAACCTACCCGGGGGATTCAAGGTGACATTGATGGATGAATTACCACAAAGTCCAAATGCTGTTGATGCTGTCACCGTGAAGGTGTACATACTGATGTTCAGGTTCTTTGCAGTGAGGCTGGTGGCTTCAGGATCATCTAAATCAACACAGAGTGACCGCCATTATTACAACATAAATACATGTTTACGATCATCGGGCAACACTGGAGACTTACTTTATTTATCTCAGTTACAAGCTAATCTTTGTGTGTGGAGAAACAAAACCAGGACTTTGTTATCAGTAGAGAAACTTAATAGTGTGATTAAAGGTCATTACCCAACAAGTGCTTTGCAAGAAAACGGCACAAAATTCTAAATATTTCAGATGGGAATTCGTATTGTGTACATACACACAGAAAGCTTTGTGTTTTTCTGAAAAATATGTCCTTAAAAAAAAAAAAAAAAATCACACTTCAATCAAAACATGAAGTGATGACAGCTGGTCCTAAAACTTTGAACCAGAAAAAGAAGAAAAGATTCTGGTTTAAACCAGGAGGTTGTATCACAGCCGCATTTGAACATACTTAAGGATCACAGTGTGATATTTGTTTTGAGCTACAGCGCACTAAATGCAGTGGTCTAATTGGTCAGATCTGTGTCTTTGCATCCATAGAATCAGAAAAATGGTTCATGGTTCAAAAAAAGAAAAGCCATAACTTCATTGAGCAAAATTACATTGTTGGTGTGAACAACTGTATTAACAAAACCTGAAAAATATTTCTAACACACAAAATATTTGCACAACCTTTGCGCGTCCAGTGTGTAAAGGCTTTAAGTGTGCTGTCCTACTAGTGCCAGCAATACATTTATAAACAAACTCAGCAAAATATTGCAGTTAAGTGTGCAATAAAGAACAAATGGATTTGGCTAAGAACATAATTATTAAAACGTTTTTGTGTCAGACACTTCCCCCCCAATCTGATCTTTTCTGCAACCAAGTTAAACTGTTATAATTCTTAGTTAATTTATCCAATTGCAGTCATACTTTGCTTAAATCGACAGACTGACACCACTAAAAAGGGGGACTTGGTTTCTGTTAAACTTGCACCACAAGCGGGCATTATATAAGTCTATGTTCCATCCAAATACGCTTTCATTTCCCAAACTCAAACACATTTTGAGGCACTGCTGACAGTTAAACAGATGCTGGGAAGAATGTTCATGCTGAGGATCCTCGTAGGTGGAGAGAAAGCTCATCGTATGGCAGGATGTAAACAGGAAGCTGATCCTATACTTAATGTCCAGACTGAAATCTTAGCTGGCCTGAGTGAGTATGCCTTCATACTGTACCTGTGCTCACGTTAAAAACGTTCCCGCTCTTGTCCTGGTAGTAGAGAATATATCCATGGATGGAAGCAGTCTGCTTTTCCAGAGGTATGGGCTCCCAGGATACCTCAACAGCCGAGTCTTCCTGTTTGTATTTGAGTTTAAACAGCTCGACTCCTATTTCTGGAAAGATGTGACATGCATAAAATACACTGCTGATTGAACCATCGCATTTTGTGAGAAATCACTGAATCAGTCTTACTGGTCTCTCTGATGTAGCCCTTTCTTCTCTGTAGTAGCACCGCAGCTCCCTCAGTGCAGGCGTATATGGACAGCAGGTATCTCCGACCATCTTCAAAGTTCTCTGGAACAACAAAAGGAGCTGTGCTGAAACAGATGCAAATATGATCTGCAACAGTTTTGTAGGCAAAGATGAGGACGTACTTGAAAAAACTGTGGTATGAGTTCTGTTGGGAGGCACTTTCATCCACTCGAAGGTGCAATTACCGAAGACTGGACACCAGTCCACTATGTAGCCACAGCTGGCGTTAGGACTATCAGGCCAGGACAGGAAGAAGCTACCATTGCTGCCACTGATCCAGGAGGTCTTCACCTCGGATGTATCTGAAAAGGACTCTTTAAAATTAGATTTTACAACATACTCCACTTAAAAAAGGAAGAGGTTAAATCAGTATATATAGTTAAACCTTGAGAATTTTTCATGGGTTTTAAAAGCAGTTTCATGCACTTTTAAGGCATTTAGCTTCCCTTTGCAGGCCAATAAAATGTGCAAAAATGTACATACTCATCATGACTTGGATATATAGAATATAAACACAACAATTACAAATTTGTATACTTATAATAGATATAATCTCAATCATGTGATCATGAAAACTGCTATTCCTTTTCTGCATTAGTTTGGAAAACCTTTTGCTTACAGCCTTCTGCACAGATTAGATAAAATCAAACCTCTTCCCCAAATGGAAATCAAAGTGAGCTTATCTGTAATGTGTGGTGCTCTGTTAGCTTCATACCTAGATTGCTGCGGGGGATGATGATGGTCGATGGTGATGAGCTGCCGTTTATGTTTCTAGCCGTGACAGTGACCATGTACTCCTCACTGGGGTCCAGCGTGAGTGTAAGGCTGTGATTGCTTCTGGACACGTTGGTTTGGTTTGACTGATTTTTGTCTTTGGTCTTTGCCCAGGACACTTTGTAGTCAAAGATTTCTCCATGGCTCTGATTGGTCAGTGGCACCTGTGGAGACGTAACATCAAGACCTGAAATGGTAACTGTGTCCTCTGAAACATCACTTTCTGACTGTATAAGATGTTGCACTGATATTTTGTCAAATAGATTTAATAAAGATATTTTTTATTGCATCAAGTTGTGAGGAAAAAAATGAATCCAACATGCAAGTACCAAAAGCTCTAGTTTTTCTAAAGACCACTTGAGGCTGTCTCCAAAAGTAAGTCAGTTTCCAGATTTAGACCTTACCAAGAGGCCTCATAAAAGCCTTGTAAAAGCCAACTTGGACTCACCTTCCAGGAGATTACAGCCTGGTCTGCCTTCACCTTCATCCACACGTCAAGAGCATCTGGAACTGTGGTGCAACCAGACAAACGACATCTGTTACATTCACAAACTTTTTAAAGTCTTTTCTCTTAAAAAAAACAAAAAACAAAAACAACTTACCATCACCCTTCGTGCGGATTTTGACACTATTGCTCCAGTCACCCCATTTCCAGAAATGCTGTGATGTTCCACATCGGACCCTCACGTCATAGTCCCAGTGTGGTATCAAGTCCTTGATGACTGCAGCTGTGAGGCCAACTCCAATGTTTTCAGTCTACAAGGACAAAAATTATGTTAGCTGACTTCAGTGAAGACTTTTACTTTGAAAAGCCAATACCTTAGCCTCCTTTTTAATCTACTCACTTTGGTATTAGAGTTTCCATCACTGACATGTACTTGGCATGTGATGTTGAGATTACTGTACTTCTTCACAGTCCAGCTCCATTTCAGACTGATGTTTCTGGGGTTCACAGTTGAAGCTGCCACTTTGTCTGGAGCAACCATGTGCACTAAAACAAGAGATCACAACAATCAGCTGATCTTAAAGATTAAGAATAGCCTTTTTCCCCTCGTTTTTTCCAAAGTTTTACCTCTTTTGGTCAGGTCCACCCTGTCATGGAGCTCGAGCTTTCCCAGAGGATTAGTGACTGTTAAGGTCCAGTTCCTCTCAGCAGCATCCAGCTCCACTTTTTGCGAGCATTTACCCAATTGATGCATTGGTCCAATGTTGCATGGGCTAAAATGTAAAAATATACACTGCTTAAATATTAACAACAACAAAAAATCGAAGAACCCAGCAGGACTGCTAATGTTTTATGGAAGCAAATAAAGGCCCTTTCTCTCACCAGCCTCCACCGGCAGATTTTGTGAGCATTTTCCCAATGCTGTAGTGCAAAAGCATAAGTAGCTTAAATCTTTACCACAAAGGCTTCTGTTGGCTTCTCTGTTTACCACAAAGTATGATGCAGTACTCGATACTACTGTGCCTGAGTGTGGTATCCATTTAGCCCATTAGCTTTCATAGTGAGAGAAAAAGAAAAAGACAAACTAACCGATGTTTGTGCATTTTGGACTGTATATAACAAACATATAAACATAAGAGATTTTCAGTGGTCCCAACTGCGGCCATTCACATATTCCCGTCTACCTCACTAATCCAACAGAGGTTGCTTCATCAATTATTCAGAAAGAGAAAATGAAATGAAATCTAGTACAACAAAGACATTTATATGTAAAGCAGGGAGTGACTGTATAATATTTTTCTGAAATCAGTAGTCAGATTACATTTTATTTACTTATTCTGACTAGCCTTTCTTTAGTCCCATACTGGAGCTCATTGTTACAACAGAGGTGTTGTGTATTTCCTTTTACCTTTCCTGGAGCAGGTATTTTCTTCTCACTTCTTCAACATCCTCTATTTTCCTTGTTATATTCCAAAAACAATCGATGGATTCCAGATCCTGGGTTTCACACTGAAGACTACTGTCACTAGGGGGGTCTAAATTTAAGGGAAATGTCAAGAAAACAAAAAAGAAGAACCAGCATTTAATTACAAGGTACATTTGACAAAACCACAAACCGCCCTCAAATGCTACAGTGCAGTGAAAAAGTATTTGGCCTCATTGTGCCAAATTTAAATGTTTCAAATCATCAAACAAATGTTAACAATAGACAAAAAAAAAAGAGTAAGTACAAAATACAGTTTTTAAGTGATGGTTTTTTTCATTAAGACAAAATGCTATCAAAAGCTCCCTGGCCTGTGTTGTGTGTACAGTAATTCCTTTTTCTCAGTACTTTGTGTCATACTTACATCCAGCATGAAAACTGGCTCCGCTGATGTCTCCTTTGTTTGTTTCACATATTACATCCCTCCAATTTTCTGATTGTTGGTCCAGGTGAACAGTCAGGGAGTGCACATGTTCACTGATCTTTGTAGTTGTTACATTAGTGCCTTTATAGTTGAGTAGAAACATTGTTTTAATACTTTCCCCGTCTGGCACCATGCAGCAGAATGTGGCTGTGCTGCCCACCTCCAATATTTGGTCTCTTGGGAGAACCAGTATTTCACCCTGGTCTGAAGAAGCACAGTGATAAGAATAAACGAGACTGTAAAGTGTTTAAGAATCAAAAAAGATCAAATGATTTGAACTTAATATTAACCAGGTAGCGTCTTCTGCATCCATGGGCTTGATTGGTTGTTGTATTGGGACCTGAGCCGGACTGAATGGCGAGCACACTGCGATGGTAAATGGGAAGTCCATTTCCAGGAATGAGTAGATCCTATCTGTGCAGGTGCCACAACAACTTCACCCTACAACATTATCATAAACACATTAGAGGAACAGCTTTTTGTTTGGAGGCTACAGAAGTGAGGATTATAGTTACCCATAATAATCTCTTACATTGTGTTCAGGTTTGTCTGCAATGAGAAGCTGCAGCTCGTACACGAGCCCATCTCGTATCACAGAGCAAGAAGGGTCATCTTCCCACTTTAACAGGAAACTGTCGTAGTCAAGAGTCACATTCTGAGGTCCACAACGCAAAACACCTAAAGGAAGTGACCACAGGACATTTTATGGTTAAAGTGGAACACTGAGCAATTCTTGAGATAAAAAAGACATAGTTAGGCTGTCAGTGAGCACACAGACTCATACTGATATTTTGTTAATGGCCTCTGGTATCTAGCAGACACAAACAGTGTCATGAACAAGTATAGTATTATAGGCACGTCCATTATGTCTGCCAGATGGGGTGACTAGGACACTAAAACACTGAGGCTTAAAAATGCAGAGTCCAAAATCAGTGGTTAAATCGTGCTGCCTGTATCATTTTTTGGGAGGAGCTGAGAGTAAATATAAAAACAACTTACTAAGCAGACATTTGAAAGCTCTGCTCTATTTTTAGACTTGACTGATGAGGAATAGCAAGGGAACACTTTAGTTTCGGGGAATAACAGGTGATTTTCTGTACCGATTATGTTTTTAAAAAAAAAGCAAGATGAAAAAGAAAAGCCACTGTGCAGTCATGTGATGTTGTACAGCTAACTGATGTGTGATTTAAGGGCAAAGACGATGCGCTGCTGGTTTGTAAAGTCTTTTTTCAAACCACTTCATCAAGTCATTGAACATATGTGTCCACACATGGATGTCTGCTATATATTTCTTAATAATACAATAATATTTTTCTCTACAAAGCTGAAACAGAGTTTTTGGGGTTCTGTCAAGAGAATTAACCACACAGGAAGTGATATTATTTGTCAGATATTTGCATTTAAAATGCTCAAAAACTGACAGACAGGAACAAGAAATCCACACAAATTAGTGAAGGTAAAGAAGATAGCTTGCAGACTTGTCTGCACCAGTCTGCCAGTTACAATGACCTTGGTTCTGAAAAATTGCAAACTTTGAACATTTATGTGAAACAAATTTGAATTATCAATTTGATTCAGAATAGGAATTAAGAAAAAAACTATTTCTACACACACAAAATGTTTAAAAAGAAATTATGCACATATTCTTTCACATCCACAAAAATGAGTTCTTGGGCCACCTATGACCACACCTCCACCCTCGCATGCTGTAACTTTATCTTGCTGACACGCACTGTATTTGTTTGTTTTATGACCAGTAAGAATCTGCACATAAAAAAATATCCTGTATACACAATTACAGCCTTTGCTGAAAATGGAGACTTCTTTACTAAAAATATCAGATACTTTCTGTACCTACAGATTGTCACAGAGGTTAGAGGATGACATACTCACCGTCTTCTTGTCCATCTTGTGTGCTTTCTCTGAAGAGTGAGAGCAATAACAACCACGTGATCATGATAATAATAATCCTGATAATCCTCGTTTAGAGCTGTTTGTTTATTTAGATAGAAAAAACCTTCAAGAATTCAGCCGGGTAGTTGCGGTGATAAACATCAGCTCGTCAGAGTGGTTGAAAAGCAGATTCCTGAGGCTTCTTTCATAGAAACAAAAGCATGTTCACGGGGAAGTTTGGGTTTTATTTGAAGAATCCGAGAACAAAGACTCGAACAGGGAAGAGTCACAGTGTTGGTGTCAGGTTACTCCCTGTAGCCTCCCTCCCTTCACATATACAATATGGAAATCCATTTGATTGTGAAATCCATGTGGACCCCACCACAGGAAATGGAGCATTATGTTCTCGTAAATGTGACTCACAGCAGCGAGCTCAGACATGCTCTGATGCTCCAGAAAAACATCGGTCAGGGAGAATCGAGCCTTAGATTCTGAAAAACATGATGATTCCAAACTTGGCATAATGACAGGACCTGCCGGCTCTGATTTTCAGACCAGTTATTGTAAAGCTTTAATTTAAAATTGATTCTTTGCTAAGTTCTCTGTGTAGACACTACACTGGTTCATCCTTCTAGTTAAGTGGGTTTTTTTATGCATGAATGATTCATAGTTCAGTGTTAAGTGGTAAAACATTTCTCTGAAAACAGCCAGGTACGATGACTGGACTGAAAGTGAGAGCAAAAGCAGACAATGTCCAAAGGAAAATGCTAGAAGACCATGAAAAAGTCTGAAGAACTAATGGTTAAGCTCACTTGACCCTTTATACTGGTGCTGCAGTTGTGACATCACTTTTAGGGCACACTGCTTTTTATGAAGTTAATAACTCGGCACTCCAGCATCAAATCCAAATACTTCTCTGAGTTCTTGCACAAAGTAAATAAGCACCAAAAACCACTTAACAACAACAACAACAACAACAACAACAACAACATGGCAGACAAAAAGTTGCTGCTGATGCTTTAAAATGTGGAGTCCAAAATGGTAGCTCTATTGTTTGCATACAGTCAAAATTATGTATGCACATTTTTATGATTAGATAATTAAATGTCTGCACCCTTGCTAACCCTGCAGCCAAAACATTTCATGTATCCATAAATAAGTAGGTGCCTATCAAAGAAAATTCCTGTTATTCCTGTTGAAGCTCAACATGTACAAGTATGAGATTTCCATTAGTTTACTCCAATAAGTGAAACAAAGAATTATTTATCTGCATAAAAACGGAAGACCGTCAGCAAAGGAAGCTGAGGCCATGAAGACCAGCATTAACAATACAGTTCTAGGGAAAAATAAATCTCATTAACATGTATGTACATGCACTTTGTCTCTTTTACATTAAATTGCACAGAAATTAGCGACACTAAATCCCTGACCTCCAAACTCATCTTAAAAACAATTTTAATCCCATTTGTCAAAATTTTATGGTAGGTAATATGCAGAGGTGGCAAAAGTACAGACTTTCCTTACTTAAGTAGAAATAAACTGTGTTAAAAACACTCCAGTAAAAACTGAATTATTGAAGAAATTTCTTTACTTAAGTAAAAGTGAAAAAGTGCCTACTCTGAAATGTACTCAAAGAAAGTAGCAAGTATCTCCTTGAAGGACATTTCTACTAACCATTTGTGTACAACTGAACCTTATATAGTAATGTAACAGTAAAATGATATTTTAACATATCTAGAATGAAAAAATCTTCTAATCTAAATTCTAATTCAAATCTGGTATGTAGGACACAAGGAAACAAATCATTTAAAAAATACCTCCTTTCTGTTGCCTACATGGTAGAGGGTGACTTTGCCTGCATACCAAAACAGTCAAATGAGAACAGTCAGGGATTACAGTAGGATTCAGCAGGTGCAGGTGCTATGATCTCTGTAGTGGCTCAGCAAAGGGAACATATTGAGAAGTTAATAATTAAGTTAGAATTAAGCAAATTCTCTTCTACACTTGACGTAACCTAAATCTGACCATGAGTACCACAGCCACTGTGCACCAGTCCAACACAGAGCTTTACTGTGAGCTCACCACATTAATGCAAGCTAACCTGTTTATCTTTAAGAAAACTACACAGAATGTTCATGCTACGTTTCAATAAAACTGAGCGGAAACTTCACGGTGTGGGTTTCTATGCCTGAGCAGCTCTTGTAGGCCATCACTTTTGTCCTTCAAAATCACTGCCTTAACAGTGAAGTAACTTTTTTTTTGGTTTGATTACATACTTACATTGCATGAGAGTTTATTCACAAGAGTGTAACAAAGATCCATAGATTATTTCTCTGTTGTTGGCTAACAGCAGCTAACAGATAAAAACAGCAGTTCTTTCTGACAGAAAAGTTCAGGATATTCTCAACAACTAACCTCAGTATTAATATCATCTGTCAGAAGTGAGTCTCACTGACTCATCAGCCCATCCAGTAAACGGTGGAATGACAGCCTACCTGGTCCAACAAAGAGCTTAAGGGTGGATCAGGTCGGGAGCAATTTTGCTGTTTGAATTCACTAACTACAGATGAACACTGGCCAGTTTTGGGGGTAACTCTGGGATAAGAGTGTATAATACTGACAAATATTTAATTGACAAAGATCCAGTTTATTATTTAGTGCTGATATTATTCAGATATGTTAAAATATTGTGCATATACAAACAGTACTGGAAATACACCACAGAAACACACACAGTACGAGCCTCCTCAGATTTCAGCATTTCAGACCATTGAAGTTGCTTTTTTTCCTGTCAGTTTTAGCTGAAGTTTCATGGCCAGGGAGCAGCTGTTTACCTGCACACACATGGGGGCATAGTGGCATGTGGCTAGCACTGATGGATCACAGTGGGTACTCTCGCGTACGCCAGCTTCCTTCTACAGTTCAAAGGGTGGATCAGGTCGGGTTTAGTGGTTATTCTAAATGACCCGCAGGTGTGAATGTGAGTGTTTATGGTTGTCTCTCTTTCTGTCTTAGCCCTTTGACAGACTGGCAACCTGTCCAGTGTGTGTGCCGCCTCCCGCCCTATAGCAACTAGGATAGGCTCATGCCCCCCTATGACTTCGATAAGCAGAATAGGACGTATGGCTGTACACAGATGTTTTCAGATATGTGTTGCTGAACTTTAAACATTTATTTTTAGCTGACATTTATTTGCTGCAACATCAAAGTGGTGTGACAGCTTGACTTAGCTGTAGACTTCAGTTACTTTGGGATGGTTTTAAACTTTGTTTTCTGTTAACACTAAAAGTGCCTTTAAAGGGGTATTTTGCTTACAACTTTTTTATTGGTGTGTTTCCAGGATTTTCTAAAAGATGTTGAACAACAACAATGAAGTGTGGCCAGAGGACACTTAATGGGCATGCCAGCCTTTTATGATCTTGAGGAATAGTAGGGGCTCAAAAAATGAATATTTAGTATGTTCATTAACAATATATCTGGCTCAGTTGTAAGAATGATTAATAAGAAGTTTGTGGCTGAAAGTCATTTAATGATATTTATCTCTAATGGTCATGAATAGAAACCCCAGAACAATTTAAATTTCAGATGACAGTTTCCCTTTAGTGGCCTCAACTGAATGGGCTAAAATAAAACAACCATAACAAATGTATCGTCATGGGGCCGGCCGGGCAGACACAGGGACCATGACATGTGGTACATCACCCAATAAGTGGTAAATGTAATTGTATACGGTACCGGTAAATGACACATTCCAACATTTCCAGAAGGCACATGAAGGGCAACTAATTTTATAGAGATTGTTTTTCTTTGTTAGCCTTTTTATATACCCCCTGACAACAGCTAACAAGCGTTGGGTGCCTTAACTACTCTGCTGTAATTAAAGCAATTTGTGCCTTTAGCTATTGGTGATAAAATAAGTGAAAATAAAAGTGGAAAGAATCAGGACATCAAATCAAATCAAATCACTTTTATTGTCACATCACATGTGCAGGCACACTGGCACAGCACATGCGAGTGAAATTCTTGTGTGCGAGCCCCACAAGCAACAGAGATGTGCAAACACAACAACACAAACGAGCAAAATACAAGAATGGCCAACCTGAAACTAATAAATATATGTACAATATATAATAGTGTATGCATTTCTGGATGTGTATACTAAATATTTTCCTACGTGTGTGTGTGTGTGTGTGTGTGTGTGTGTGTGTGTGTGTGTGTGTGTGTGTGTGTGTATACACATTTTTACAAATTAAATAGTAAAAAATAAAAAATAAAAAAATAATAAAATAATAATAACAATAATGATAATAATAATAATAATAAAATATACAGAGTTGAATATGTGCAAAACAAGTGGCATTTATATACAGTGTGGAGTGCATAATGTTGAAGTTCCAGTAGTGAAGCTGAGGTGTCTATGACGTGTTCAGCAGTCTGATGGCCTGATGGAAGAAGCTGTCTCTCAGTCTGCTGGTACGGGACCGGATGCTGCAGAACCTCCTTCCTGATGGAAGCAGTCTGAACAGTTTATGGCTGGGGTGACTGGAGTCCTTGATGATCCTCCCCGCTTTCCTCAGGCAGCGCTTCCTGTAGATGTCTTGGAGGGAGGGAAGCTCACCTCCAATTATCCGTTCAGAGCACCGCACTACTCGCTGGAGACATGCACTAAGAGTAGAGGTACCTCAGAAATACGCTTAATTATATCCTTATATAGTGTTTGATACACATGCATGTTACGACCCAGCTCAAAAGCCGCAACATAAAAAAGGAGACAAATACCGTTTGTCAGAAGAGGTTTTTTTTTCTTAAAATGGAATACCAGGTTGGCTAAAATGGCTGGTGCCACCAAGGCAAAGACAAGTGAGCTCCCTGGAAGCTTGCCTCAGGTATGCTTTTATCCACACCTGACTAGGTGTGGCCAATTAGCACCAGCTGAACACATTGAGGAGATTAGCGGCTGCAGAGGGACGTAACAATGCAATCATCAACACAGCAGGTCACACAGCCTTCCTGGTGCTGTACTGTTTCTCTCCATATGAACAGACTTTGAAGGAAACCAGACACAATCAAAGCATTAAAAAAACACTTCTTGTTTGAAGCTTCTTGTTTTATTGGTTTACAGCATTGATTCAAAGGTGATTTCTTGGTTCTTACAGACAGAGATCAACAGCAAAGACCTCTCAGCAGCTACATGAAATATTCACATTTTTTAATAAGGTAGGACACACATAATCAATCGGTCGGTACTGAAGTCCTCTCTTCATTGTTCATTATTTATTTGCTTCAATATGATGAGTTGAGTTTCTGTGGTGATGGCACAGAGATTCAGACACGTCATTAAAGTAAAAATGCAAACAGCTGTAACTTGTACAGACTTTGCAGTCAGGTTTGCAGAGATTCAAAACAGAAAAATAATTCAAGCTTTAGAGGGGCTTCTCTCAAATGTCTGACTCAGTGGAACGTCTAGATACATTTAAAGAAACTTTTAGAATTTCTTAGAGATCGGTTAGCAATGCCCTAGGAACATCTAGGATAAACTATGTATTCACTGACAAAGGTCACTGAGGTTTTTGCAGTCTCTCATAATTTGCATGGAAGATGCTGAGCTGGCTGCAAACACTCACCATTTACTCTCTGAGTAAGTGCAACAGAAACAGAAAATGTTCCCTTATAAAGTAAAACTTTAAATGTGATGATAACATTAGTAAGACAAAGCCTTTACTTAGAAGGTGAAGAATCTCCATTTCCAGTTTGTGGCACACTTTTTTCACAGTTTCATTACAGTTCAGAGAGCCGTTAACAAGTTATTTCTAGACAAGTTCAAACTTCTGGCAACCTGCTAGTAACCAAAGCAGTTATCAGTGCAGCACTGTATACCCGTTTGTGACCAATTTCTTGTCAACTGACAGTCAGGGAGCACACATTTTTCCACAGCGACCAGTGGTTGTACTCTCTGATGTGTCCCTAGTATTGTGGGACAGAGCCCTTAAAAATTAAGTACCTTGAGGGATACAATGTCCCGTCATGAGAGCAGTGTTTCCAGAGTAAATTTAAATAATGCCCATTTGGTGCCACTTGGACACCAACAAGAGAAACCTGTCCTTTTCATGTCTTAAAGAGACCTTGATGTGAGCCAGCCACAGGAATGACTGTACAGTAGTGTCTGAAACGAACAGACCCCAAAGGTTCAACAGCAGCATCTTAGAGCAGTGTTTTTCAAACCCGCCATTCATACTGTATGTGTCACTGATGTGGTGACAAACAAAATAAATTTGCAGGGCACAAAATCTTTGAAAACCACTAATGCTCTGGTCCACTAACATAATTGGCTAACAACAAACAACTAGGATTATAATTCAGGTGTGAGTGTGTGAGCATCTAAACAGAAAAGCTTTAATGCCAAAATGTACTCCTAGGATCTCATTTGAAAGGAAACATCTTCTATTTTCTGAAAATGTCCTGTTTGTGTGAATGAAACTAAACTCACACCTAACTTTAGCTGAGTTGCTGATGACCTGGTGGATGAAGCTAACCAACTATGCAGTAGTTAACGATGCATAAAGTGCCTGAATAAGGCTTAAATGTGTTCACATATGCAGCAGCTAGTTAGATGTCTTCTGTGGTAGCAAAATGTATGTGGACACACAGGATATGGGACTGTTTGGGTACTCCTCTAACTCAGTTGTGGTAAAGGTCTCATCAGGACTCTGAGGCTGGTATCCACTAAAGCTTCTGATGAAAGGTATTCCCTCATGGACCTCGGGCCCTGATTTGACTTCACGGTCCACACTTTGCAATACCAGGTTGTACGATGGGTTGTACAACGGATTAGGAAATACGCCATTGATTGGAGAAGATGGCAAGCCTGGCTGAGATGTGAGGCCTGTAGTGGGTAAAGTGAGACATGGCTGGGATTTCTTCAGAGGCTTATTGTAGTAACCTTTGGGAGTCTGAGAGAAGGTAAAAGGCTTGTAGTCCTGGTCAACCTCAGGCTGTGGTGGTCTGAATTGATCATGTAGCTTAGGAATATCCAAGACCTCTCTGTAGTAACTCTGATCAAAATGAAGATGATGACTCGTATGTTCATCCTGAAAAACAGAGAAAATGACCTCACATTCACAGGAAAGATATCTTGGTGCTTAGAGATTAGGATAATGGACTATACAAGGAAATCAACAAATAACTGAATAGTAGAATATCCTGATATATAGATGCATCATTAGCTGGCCAATGCTACATGATATAGTACTGGCCATCTCAACTTACTGGTAATGTCAGCCACTGGTCGGTCAGCACTGGCTTTGGGATTGGAGGATAGACTTTGTGTTTGATGCTGTTGGGTCAAAGAATGCATCAAAATTTAAACAAAACCAATTATTGGAAGCAAAAGTGACAAATTTCACAGAAAATAAATGTGCATTGCTTACCATGCCCATTGTCTGTAGCAGATAATTGTGCTGACAGACAGAATAAGAAAAACTGCTCCCAGGGATATCAAGATCAGCATTATCAGTTGATCAGCTGGTGAAAACAATGAACCGCATCGAGTAAATCAAAGAAAATGACAAATGTTGACAGTCTTACTAAAGAAAATAGTCCATATGGGGAAATAATTAACCTACCCGGGGGATTCAAGGTGACATTGATGGATGAATTACCACAAAGTCCAAATGCTGTTGATGCTGTCACCGTGAAGGTGTACATACTGATGTTCAGGTTCTTTGCAGTGAGGCTGGTGGCTTCAGGATCATCTAAATCAACACAGAGTGACCGCCATTATTACAACATAGATACATGTTTACGATCATCGGGCAACACTGGAGACTTACTTTATTTATCTCAGTCCCAAGCTAATCTTTGTGTGTGGAGAAACAAAACCAGGACTTTGTTATCAGTAGAGAAACTTAATAGTGTGATTAAGTGTGTCATCGTCCGAGTGACAATCAATTTGTAAACGACACGTCGGCAACATGTTTCAGTTAACACCTTAATACTACAAAAGATGCAAGAAAAAACTTGATGTACAGCAAATCAGTTGAAGACATAATTTTTGACATTTTTTAGTATAAAAGACTTTCAAACGAATCTGATATTTTCTGCCACCAATTTGAAGAGTTATAGCCCTTAATATTTCATCCAATTACAACCATAAAACAGGCATGGTTTGTTTTACGTTTGTGCCACAAGGGGTTGTTATTTCCATTTGTTAGATCTGGCATTATTAACAGTTTCTAAGTCCAAGATAATGGAAAAAAGTGGCATCATGGTCAAATTAACCCAATAAAATCATCATATGCCAGGAGGTAAACACTAACGATGGATTAAAATCAGCTAACAGAGCACCTATGGAAAAGTGCTGATCCTTTGACTTCTAAGAACCTGGCGCATCAATTGATTCATTTCAAAACCATACACAGAACAAACATTACACCCTATAGGAGGTTCCAGATGAAACTACAGGCTACGTATCACTGTCACATCTGCAATGATTCGTCACCAGGCACGTTTTTGCACATGTTTTGGGACTGTCCTGTTGTATCCAATTTTTGGGTCTTTGTGAACTCTGTGTTATCTGAGGTGCTGGACGTTTTTTATATTCCCAATCCTGGTCTTTGCCTCCTTAATGATACCTCTGAAATCTCCTTAAAACAAATACAATGCAAAATGTTGTTCGCTGGATTCACATCCGCAAAGAAGACTATTACAAAGCAATGGTTCAGTCCTGACATTTGTATGGAATCATTCTGGATACGATGTCTTATCCGTGTTATTAATTTTGAACATACCACAGCAAAATTAAATAAAGCTCGACCCACGACTGTTGAAGTTTGGAAAATCTTCTCATCCAAAGTTATCTCCTGGAACAGGCACTAACTGTTTTTGACTGTGTTTTTGTGTTTTTTCTTTGCTGTCCCTATGCCTTGTGACCAATGTTTGCTTTGCTACTGCAGTTTACAAATGTGCTGTATATGTCTGTACCCCCCCCCCTCCCCCAACCCCGTTTTAAATCAATAAAATGTTGATCACAAAAAAAAAAGTGCTGATCCTATACTTAATGTCCAGACTGAAATCTTAGCTGGCCTGAGTGAGTATGCCTTCATACTGTACCTGTGCTCACGTTAAAAACGTTCCCGCTCTTGTCCTGGTAGTAGAGAATATATCCATGGATGGAAGCAGTCTGCTTTTCCAGAGGTATGGGCTCCCAGGATACCTCAACAGCCGAGTCTTCCTGTTTGTATTTGAGTTTAAACAGCTCGACTCCTATTTCTGGAAAGATGTGACATGCATAAAATACACTGCTGATTGAACCATCGCATTTTGTGAGAAATCACTGAATCAGTCTTACTGGTCTCTCTGATGTAGCCCTTTCTTCTCTGTAGTAGCACCGCAGCTCCCTCAGTGCAGGCGTATATGGACAGCAGGTATCTCCGACCATCTTCAAAGTTCTCTGGAACAACAAAAGGAGCTGTGCTGAAACAGATGCAAATATGATCTGCAACAGTTTTGTAGGCAAAGATGAGGACGTACTTGAAAAAACTGTGGTATGAGTTCTGTTGGGAGGCACTTTCATCCACTCGAAGGTGCAATTACCGAAGACTGGACACCAGTCCACTATGTAGCCACAGCTGGCGTTAGGACTATCAGGCCAGGACAGGAAGAAGCTACCATTGCTGCCACTGATCCAGGAGGTCTTCACCTCGGATGTATCTGAAAAAGACTCTTTAAAATTAGATTTTACAACATACTCCACTTAAAAAAGGAAGAGGTTAAATCAGTATATATAGTTAAACCTTGAGAATTTTTCATGGGTTTTAAAAACAGTTTCATGCACTTTTAAGGCATTTAGCTTCCCTTTGCAGACCAATAAAATGTGCAAAAATGTACATACTCATCATGACTTGGATATATAGAATATAAACACAACAATTACAAATTTGTATACTTATAATAGATATAATCTCAATCATGTGATCATGAAAACTGCTATTCCTTTTCTGCATTAGTTTGGAAAACCTTTTGCTTACAGCCTTCTGCACAGATTAGATAAAATCAAACCTCTTCCTCAAATGGAAATCAAAGTGAGCTTATCTGTAATGTGTGGTGCTCTGTTAGCTTCATACCTAGATTGCTGCGGGGGATGATGATGGTCGATGGTGATGAGCTGCCGTTTATGTTTCTAGCCGTGACAGTGACCATGTACTCCTCACTGGGGTCCAGCGTGAGTGTAAGACTGTGATTGCTTCTGGACACGTTGGTTTGGTTTGACTGATTTTTGTCTTTGGTCTTTGCCCAGGACACTTTGTAGTCAAAGATTTCTCCATGGCTCTGATTGGTCAGTGGCACCTGTGGAGACGTAACATCAAGACCTGAAATGGTAACAGTGTCCTCTGAAACATCACTTTCTGACTGTATAAGATGTTGCACTGCTATTTTGTCAAATAGGTTTAATAAAGATATTTTTTATTGCATCAAGTTGTGAGGAAAAAAATGAATCCAACATGCAAGTACCAAAAGCTCTAGTTCTTCTAAAGACCACTTGAGGCTGTCTCCAAAAGTCAGTTTCCAGATTTAGACCTTACCAAGAGGCCTCATAAAAGCCTTGTAAAAGCCAACTTGGACTCACCTTCCAGGAGATTACAGCCTGGTCTGCCTTCACCTTCATCCACACGTCAAGAGCATCTGGAACTGTGGTGCAACCAGACAAACGACATCTGTTACATTCACAAACCTTTTAGGTCTTTATCTTAAAATATTTTTTATTTTAAGATTAAAATAAAGTCTTAAAATAAAAACTACTTACCATCACCCTTTGTGCGGATTTTGACACTATTGCTCCAGTCACCCCATTTCCAGAAATGCTGTGCTGTTCCACATCGGACCCTCACAACATAGTCCCAGTGTGGTATCAAGTCCTTGATGACTGCAGCTGTGAGGCCAACTTCAATGTTTTCAGTCTACAAGGACAAAAATTATGTTAGCTGACTTCAGTGAAGACTTTTACTTTGAAAAGCCAATACCTTAGCCTCCTTTTTAATCTACTCACTTTGGTATTAGAGTTTCCATCACTGACATCTACTTGGCATGTGATGTTGAGATTACTGTACTTCTGCACAGTCCAGCTCCATTTCAGACTGATGTTTCTGGGGTTCACAGTTGAAGCTGCCACTTTGTCTGGCACGACCATGTGCACTAAAACAAGAGATCACAACAATCAGCCGATCTTAAGGATTAAAAATAATCATTTAACCAAATTTTATTCAAAGCTTTACCTCTTTTGGTCAGGTCCGCGTTGTCATGGATCTCGAGCTTTCCCAGCCGATTAGTTGCTGTTAAGGTCCAGTTCCTCTCAGCTGCATCCAGCTTTACTTTTTGCGAGCATTTACCTGAACGTCCATTGATGCATGAGCTAAAATGTAAAAGATATACACCGCTATTACTAAATATTTACAACTAAATAAATACAGAGGCTAGCAGGACTGCACATTCACTAGGAAGCAAAGTAAGAGTACGTTTTAAATTTGTCATTGACTGAACTCCTTATTGCTTAATCAATAATGTTTGGTGCTTTAAAGTTTAGTCTATAGATCCCAAAATGTTTTTGCTTTGATGGTCTTTTAAATCAGAGCATTTCTCTCAACTGCTTGAAACTACTTTTATAAATATTCAGGTTTTTGGGTTTTTTAAGAGCTCTGGTGACGAGGTGTAATGTGTGCAGTTTTCACTGCAAATCATATAAAGTGAAATTAAAGAAGAATAGCCCTGAAAACAACTCCACTGTGATTTCATCAAGGACGTTCTCTTTGTAAACTCACTTTGACTTTTGACCTATATGGCATTACATACTGTGAGAAGCATAACTACTGTTTATCCCATAATTAATCAATTTGTTTTTTGGACTATGTTTATTCTGGGCACTTTATTTTAGTTTTCAAATAATGTGTTAACCATCTCTGCGTGTGTGTGTGGCTTATACTTGGATATGCATGGATTTTACAAAGGAGAGTGGCGCACTTTAAAAGGGAATGTTTTGACAAGGCCTGATATGTTGTAGATTTTCACTCTAACTAAAAGTAGTAAACAGGGCAGCCTGTCTGTCTGTGATAGCACTGGAGTCTGCATGCTCTCGCAGTAGAGCACTTTGCTTTCTGACTATTATTTTTTCAGGTTTTTTTTTCCCCAATAAATCATCCTGCAACTGAAGTTGTATAGCAAGTGCTCATTTTTGTAACTTCTGACTACAGATCATCGAGATCATCTAAAAGTACTGTTCATCAACTTTTTGTTCTTCTGAATCTGAAACGGTCTGCAGTGGTTTTTAACAAGGTGTCCAGTGAGGTGTCTTATTTTAAGATTCACACCCTCAGATGCTTCCATACAGGAGACTGTAGATATATTAGGGGTGGTTGGGTCTTATTATACCTTCCTTGGAGCTGATATGTTCTTTCCATTGCAGGATGTTCGTTTGCTGCCCTTCCTACGTTCCAAAAACAATCGATTGATTCCAGATCCCGGGTTTCACACTTAAGATCACTGTCATCAGGAGGATCTAAGTTTGTGGCAAATACCAGGAAAAACAGAAGCACATTTAAAAGAGAACCATTTATTTACAAGATCAATTTGAGAAACCACAATCTCAAATGCTACATCATACTTACAGCTGGCGTGAAAACTGGCTCCGTTGATGTTTCCTTTGGTTGTTTCACATCGTACATCACTATAGTTTTCTGATTCTTGGTCCAGGTGAACAGTCAGGGAGTGCACATGTTCACTGATCTTTGTAGTTGTTACATTAGTGCCTTTGTAGTCATATAGAAACATTGTTTTAATACTTTCCCCATCTGGCACCATGCAGCAGAATGTGGCTGTGCTGCCCACCTCCAATATTTGGTCTCTTGGGAGAACCAGTATTTCACCCTGGTCTGAAGAAGCACAGTGATAAGAATAAACGAGACTGTAAAGTGTTTAAGAATCAAAAAAGATCAAATGATTTGAACTTAATATTAACCAGGTAGCGTCTTCTGCATCCATGGGCTTGATTGGTTGTTGTATTGGGACCTGAGCCGGACTGAATGGCGAGCACACTGCGATGGTAAATGGGAAGTCCATTTCCAGGAATGAGTAGATCCTATCTGTGCAGGTGCCACAACAACTTCACCCTACAACATTATCATAAACACATTAGAGGAACAGCTTTTTGTTTGGAGGCTACAGAAGTGAGGATTATAGTTACCCATAATAATCTCTTACATTGTGTTCAGGTTTGTCTGCAATGAGAAGCTGCAGCTCGTACACGAGCCCATCTCGTATCACAGAGCAAGAAGGGTCATCTTCCCACTTTAACAGGAAACTGTCGTAGTCAAGAGTCACATTCTGAGGTCCACAACGCAAAACACCTAAAGGAAGTGACCACAGGACATTTTATGGTTAAAGTGACCTGAACAATTCTTCACAGTCATCGTTGGGCTATTTGAACAGCAGTCAGTGAGGACACAGCCAGTGGTGCCAATAGTGTCGTCACTGCCCGGGCATCAAATACTGATGTTTTGTTAAAGATTTTGTTAAAAACTGTTGCCTAAAATGGAGTTCATCTATTCTTCATTTGAGATATCCTTAAAAGGTGTGTCAATTCCCATAGATGTGTCACCCTGTTCAAAATGCCCAGCTTTACAGCAAAACATGTTTACAGCCTCATACAATTTTTTTTTTTTTTTTTTTTTTGCACTTGGTAACAAATTTCACTCATGCAGCAACTGTTTAAGTTGTATTAAGACTCCTCATTATACATTTCAGGCAGATTTTGACTAGCAAATGGGTCCAAATAGGGCACTAGTTCTCTCTTGCCTCAGCTAATTCAAGTAGATTTATCTGTTCTCCGTGCTGAGGGTCAACCTGCTTTCATCTGTGAAAAGAACAGGTTGTCAGAATGTCCATCACTGCAATCTATGGCAGATGCCACTCGGACGTGACGATGGATAACCACCCTAATGAAGTCAGTTTCTGATTGTTTGGTCAGAAAGATTCCCTGCCTCTCTTCCTTACTCCCACTCATCTCTGCTATCCTCCTTATTCAAGATTGCTTCAGTCACTCCCATACTGAAAAAACCTTCTTTAGACCCTAACAACTTGAACAACCTTCGTCCGATATCTAATAAGTAGTTGCAGTTCAACTTCATTCACACTTGGTTAATATAAAACATCTACAAGAGATTTTAATCTGGTTTTCGTTCATGTCACAGTAAAGAAACTGCTTTACTTGAAGTCACTAATGATCTTCTAATCGGAGCCGACTCTGCTCATTCTCATCCTTTTAGATCTGAGCTCAGCCTTCGACACCATCTTTCACTCTGTCCTTATAAGCAGACTCTCCTCTCTTGGCATCTCTGACCAGTGTTGGTGAAGTTACTTGAAAAAAGTAATCAGTAACTAATTACTGATTACTTCCCCCAAAAAGTAATCCCGTTACTTTACTGATTACTTCTTTTCAAAAGTAATTAATTACTTAGTTACTTAGTTACTTTTTAAAAACACGATTTACAACCTGAAGAGGTGATAAAGCGATAGATCTTTCAGCCCAATTCTACTTTTTCTGCATAATCCATCATACAAAATGTAATCAAATGGAAAAGTCTCTTTTTTTTTTAACTTGTTTTATCGGTTTTAATCTTTTAACTTTATGGATCAAGCAAAAATTTAATTATATGCAACATTCTTTGACTTGAAGAAATTAGTTTAACATTTAAACCTATTTTCTGCACATTCCAGCACATAAAATAAAATATTTTTTGTGTTTACACTCACTCTTTCAAATAGATGCAAGTAAAACACAGCAGAAAATAAATAAAGTCAAAGACTCAGCGGTCCTGTTGCTCTATTTTCACCTGTAAAGCAGGACTGAGGTAGGCGGAGGTTTACCCTGGTGCAGGTGTGCCGCGGTCAGTTGAAGAATCCGCGACTTTCTCTGTGAGTTTCCCATTACGTCATGGCGCACTCGGTGCTTGCTTGGAAGTTTAGGGTTTTTTTCGCTGTAAAAAGAAGTTTTCTTCCCACGCACGATGGACGCTAATGTTTTTGTCACTTTTTATGGAATCAAACTCAAAGTAAGGTCAGTACTTCCACGCTTTAAACGCTGCACGCTCATACTCTCTCCCACAATCGATATGTGATCCATTGTTGATCTGCACACAGCTGTTGTCACTAACGGCGCACTCGCTTACGTCACTGTCGTGAGACATTCTCGCAAAAAATCACGGTTTTAGTAACGCAGTAACGCAGCGTTCCTACGGGAAAGTAACGGTAATCTAATTACCGATTTTGCAATAGTAATCCCTTACTTTACTCGTTACTTGAAAAAAGTAATCAGATTACAGTAACGCGTTACAAGTAACGCGTTACAAGTAACGCGTTACTGCCCATCTCTGTCTCTGACACACAGATATGATTGAACCCCTGGTTTCAATCATATCTCCTCGACCGCTCCCAGTTTATTCAACTGAAATCATTCCACTCTCGTCTATTCCCGGTCACTTCTGGTGTACCCTAAGGTTCAGTCTTAGACCCTCTTCTCTTCATAATATACATCCTCCCTCTAGGTACCATTTTCCACAAATTTGATCTTCACTTTCACTGTTTTGCTGATGACACCCAGTTACATCTCTCCTGCAGACCTGATTCCTCCCTCCCACCTGCTTCCCTTACAGAATGTCTATCCGAATTAAAATTCTGGTTTAGCTCTAATTTTCTAAAGCTCAATGAGGATAAAACTGAAATCCTCCTTATTGGCACCAAATCCAACCTTTTGAAGGCGAAACATTTCTCACTCACCATCGATAACTCCACAGTTTTGCCTTCTTCTCAGGTTAAGAGCCTTGGTGTCACATTAGACAGTTCACTTTCCTACAAGTCTCACATCAGGAATCTCACCCGTTCTGCCTATTTCCATCTACGCAACATTAACAGATTACGTCCTTCTCTTTACACACAGTCCACGTCCATTCTTGTCCACGGTCTTGTTACCTCCCGTATTGGCTACTGCAATTGTCTTTTGCATGGTCTCCCCCAAAAATCCCTCCATAAGCTTCAACTGGTTCACAACTCTGCTGCTCGGATTATCACCAGAACCCCGTCCTACCAGCACATCACCCCTGTTCTTCAGGAATATGTCTGTGAAGGTTCTCAGTCATCCAGGTCATCGTAGTCAAAGGAGCTTGCAAAGAAAAGCGTCTGGACTTCTTTAAGTTGCTTGAAGACGTTTCACCTCTCATCCGAGAAGCTTCTTCAGTTCTAAGGTCAAATGGTGGAGAGTCCCAGATATAAACCTAGTGGGAGTGACCCCCCACAGAGGGACAAAAGGACCCCCTGATGATCCTCTAATCGCCTGGAAGTTCTTCTCCTGGAAGTTCTTCAGGAACTTCACTTCTTCTGCTCACCTTCAAGGCCATTCATAACCTCGCACCTCCTTACGTTTCTGACCTGTTAAGCACTACCTTTCCTGCCCGCTCACTTCGATCTTCTTCTGTCCAGCTTGTTGTGCCTTATTTTGGCCTCACCACCACAGGAAGCAGAGCTTTTAGCTGCTCTGCTCCCAGGCTGTGGCGCTCTACCACCAGATATAAGAAACATTGGTTCTCTCCCCCAGTTTAAATCTCAACTCAAAACCCATCAGTTCAAATCTGTATATTCACTGTTTGTTAATTATATCCTGTGCTTTTGTTTTATTGTTCTTCATAGTGTCATTGTTATATTATGTGTTTTTATCTATTGTACAGTGTCCTTGGGTGTCTTGAAAGGCGCTTTAAAAATTAAATGTATTATCATTATTATTATTATTATTACAGCAGTGGCATGGTGGAGGTCATTTTGTGGAGCTCTGGCAGAGCTCATCCTTGCAGAAAGAAACAGATACAGGTCCTGCTGCTGGGCCCTGTCCAGCTGTCCTACCTGTCTCCTGGAATTTCCCCAAACCTTTCTGATTCCAAGATATTTCCTTTTTTTTTTTTTTTTTGGGGGGGGGGGGGGTCACCATTGGTCCAGCCACAAACTACATGTTTCATTTCCTTTAAGCTCCCTTCATAAATACTTAGATCAAATATTGCAGCCTACCCTGTCTAATAATACTGTTTAATACATTCCACATACCTTTAATACATTTCTATTATTCTGTAATATTTTATTATACATCTTTGTAATTTTTTATATATTTTTGTTTCCTTTCTTCTGTATTGTTCTATTATAATTTGCCTGTAAACAACATTTACATTTCACCTGTAAAAGCCACTCTTCTGTCAGTGATCAATTTTATGTTCTGTCACCCACCCATCGCTCTTTTTTTTAAAAAAAATCACAAGTTTTCTGGGGGAACCTCAGAGGGCACAAATAGTTTAAAAGCCAGTTCACTAACTGGCCACTTGAGAGCTCTTCTCTTTTTACACAATGACTGTTGAGAAAGTTGGAAGGAAGCATTTAAGAAGTTTTGCAAGGGAAGATGGGAAGTTAGAAGCTGACTGTCTGCATAAAGTATGTGGACATAAAGCAAGACAAAAAGGAAATCAATCATGCATTATTGTAGATGTTGAAGACATAGAGCTAACTGTTGGGTTTCAGCCATCATAGCAGCAGAGCTTCAGGGGCAAACATCATAACCACTGCCATGATGCTGGTTTGTGAAGTCTTGCTTCAAAGACAGTTCATCTAGTCATCAACCTCTTGGTCTTTCAAAGTGACCATATTTGGGCACACATGGACGTCTAGAATTTAGGTACTGTTCAATTACACCCACAGAAAAATGTATAATTTGTCAGATATTTGCATTAAAAACAAACTGGGTCAAGAAATCCACACAAATCAGCGGCAGTAAAGCCTAGCAGGGAGCTCACAGTCAAAATAGCCATACTTCTAATACGGCAAAGTGTAATCAAATTTAAACAGGTGGTTAGCAATTAGCAGCTAATGCTCACTGAAATCTGTAGTGTGTGGAAAGCATGATCCCCTGAAACGCCTTGTGTTTGTTATATGAACAGGAAAAACTGCACATAAAAATATCCTGCATGCACACCTGAGAGCATTTACTCATTGGAGCAGCTGAAACACGACATCTTCAATCAAGACGATGAAATACTCACTGTTTTCTTGTCCATCTTGTGTGCTCGTTGTGGAGAGTGACAGCAGTAACAACCATGCGATCATGATAATCCTCCCGTGTTTATTTCTTTGTAGAAAAAAAACTTCATGGATTGAGTCAAATGGTTGCCATAGCTCTGGTGATAAACATTTACAAATGGTTGTAAAGCAGGTTCCTGAGGCTTCCTTTATAGAAACAAAAAACTTTCACACACAAAACACTTTTGTGAGTTTTATTTGAAGACTCTGAAGAGAAAAGTCACCATGTCAGTGTCAGATAACTCCCTGGAGTCGCTCTCCCTTCTCATGTAAGCTTTGGGAAATCATTTCAGTTCATGATTGTGAAATCCATGTGAGCTCCAGTACAGGAAACAGAGCAGTCGCGTTCTCGTAACTGTGACTCACAGCAGCGAGGCCAGACATTCCTCACTTGCTCTAAGATTGTTTTCAGACTTGAAACCTTTTAGAAAAACACTAGTCAGAGAGAGAGAATCGGTCATCAGACTAAGGAAAACACTTGTTATCAGTGGTTCAGAACAGAAGCAGGGAGGGTTTTTTTTCCAGGTAAACAAAAACAACACGCCCAGATTAAATCTCTTAAACAGAGGCTTCTCAGATCTTGGTTAAGGATGAGATTTCTGTCAGTTCACCTATCAGTCAGTATGCTGCAGTTTTTCCAGTAATGAAAGGGAGGAACAGGAAGAAAGGAATACAAGGAAAATTGAAGATAAGGAAGCTCAATAAGTGCTACATTAAACAATACTTCTTATTAAGAGGCTGTTACAAGCTTTTATGTACTCCTTTTGTTTGGCTTTCCTCCAACTCATCCCCTGACAGCAGTAAAACTGACTCCCCTCCCCCAATTCTGAGTAAAATCCTTTCTGCCTCACCCTGCCCTCTGCTTCCTGGAGTGTGGACATTGGTTGAACATGTCATTTGGAGCCAGTAAATATGGACAGTAAATAAAAGTGTTGCGATGTGCCTGGGATGAGCTCTTAACAGTACAGTAGGACTCACATAGACTGCATAAATGGTGCTTCAGGTTTTTTTCTGTCTTATTGTCACATGTGTATGAAATCAAATCACCTAGCCACGTAGTTTGACTTCACAGACATTTGTGAAAGAGCTCATTGAACTGGTCTAATATAGGATGCTACTGTTGCAACATGTCAGTTTCCTCCCTGTTGAATACTAAGGAGTATGTGGTGTTACTGCAAAGCAGAAGCATTTATGAACCACAGGAAGTTGCTGAAGTGCCTAAAAATCACCAATGCTCTACTTACTCAGTGACTGCAGAGCTGCAAAACTTGCTGACATTAACATCAGCACAGAAACCCGGAGCCAGGGGCTTCATGGCATGAGTTTCCACGGTCAAGCAACTCCTTCGGGTGGTCAGGCACTTAATTTCTTCCATTCATCCATCCTTTCCTGCTTATCCAATTCAGGGTCGTGGCTTTAATGTTCCGTATACAGAAAATGACTGGAAGAAGACACTATGAATACATAAAGCATTTAATTAAATAAGGGGGGGAAATAAAACCATAAATCATTAAATAAAATTTAATTTTGTGATGTTTTTTTGTCTCTAATATGGTAATAATAAGATAATAACACAACAAAAACTGCTGTTTACACACATACACACACTTTCATGCACAAAGCCACTTTTTAGTTGTCATGAGTGACTGTGAGAAGGAAAATTACCCGAGTCAGTTATCTAATGAAATTCCTCCTTTATCAGTCATTTGAACCAGATCGTAATGACAGGCTTAGTTTTGTTTTCATACAAAGACAACAAAGAAAAGGTTCAGTCTTTCCTTTTCCCACTAAACATCTAAAGAATTCCCTCCACTCCCTGTTTCCACTGAATTTTCATTTCGGAACCACACAGCACTCCAGAAATTCCAGAGAAGGCAAGTGAGTATGTGAGTTTATAATTGCAGTGTTGACTTTAAACTGAGCTACTAGCTGATCTGCAGCTGCACTGAGAGCCGCACTGAGTCACTGGTTTTACTAGACGTGTATTTAGCCACGTCTTCATGTGTGATGTCAGCTGTTGGGAATTTTTTCTTTCTTGTTATCTCCTGTCCACAGAATTATGAAAACACAACGATCCTATTCTAAGGTGTTCTCACCAATGACACACAGCTTCAAACAGTTTTCTCAGATTTCAGCATATAAGAACATTAAGTTGCTTTTTGTAGTCATCATTCTGTGAGACTGTGTACACAGATATTGTCGGGCATGTCCTTTTAAATTATTACATTTATTTTTTTATCACATATACTTACTCCACCATCATGTGGTACAAATTAATACAATTCAGTTGATAAACAGATGTTTTTTTTTTAATTCTTAACAGAATAATTTACCAGAAGTGACTTTAAATGGTGCCTTTGCTGCTCATTTATAGCTCTTTTGGGGGGGGGATGTTTCCAGGATATTTTACTTGGTGTTTCAGAGAAACAATAAAGTTTGGCCAGAGGATTGAGTGGACAACCACTGGGTGTGACAGAGTTTCATGACCTTGAGGCATACTGTGGGCTCAAAATATGAATATTTATTCTGGACAGCACAGTGACGCAGTGGTTAGCACTGTTGCCTTACAGCAAGAAGGTCCTGAGTTTGACTCCTCCATCTGGGCAGGGCCTTTCTGTGTGGAGTTTGCTGGAGTTTCCTCCCATAGTCCATGCAGTTAGTGTGGTTAGATTTATGCAAAAAATTAAGGGCTCAAAAGTCTGTTAGACTGGACTTTTTTGAAACACAAATATTTAGAAAAGCGTTTGATATATGGAGCTAAAAAAAAATTAGGAATCATTATATATGTCTAAATTTTGGATCATAAATTATTTTTGCAAATCAGAGACGCTTAAGCAGAAAATGTTTTATTTTCACTTGCTGAATACGGGACAGACTTGACTGGAGGAAAGAAGGGGAGAAAGAAAGAGGGAAAGAGAAACAGCTGAGAAGAGGGACGGGGGAGAAGGGCAAAAAACAAGAACCAACAGAATGGGCAGGGGGAAAAAATGCATATATCAATCACCTGGATCACCTGCTGAGAAAGAAAAAAGAAAACAAGCAGAAGAGAACAAGAGTAATAGAATAAACAACATCACAATGATATATGGGAATATGACAGTAAATACTAAATATTAAACATTATTGTGCAGCACATAAGATCAACAGAACACAGTGTGCTTTGAGGTAGCAGCCAAAAGGGTGTAGTTTGTGGGTGTGATCACCCGTGTGTACACCTGTGAGCATGGACGCGCTTGTTTTTTTAAAAGGTTCCTTCATGTAATGATCTGCTAGAGGGTGTGGGGGGGCCACAGCCCCGTCCTTCAGGGCATGAAGCAGGTATGGAGGAGATCAAGACTCCAGACATCCAGAGGCCCCCAGAACACAAGAGACCAAGGAAGACTAACAGAGGAGCAGCCGCGCCACTGTCCCAGTAAGAGCTGAGGAGAGTCCCAGATGAGGGCTCACTCAGCAGCCGCGGAGCAGAAGCCAGGGGGAGTTGCAGTGACACGCCCGTGAGCTCCGCCGGCAGCCAGCCGTGCCTGAGTGACTGAGCCCCAGGCCGAGAGGCCGGGGGCACCCCACCTCCGAAGTGGCCCGAGGGAGCCCCAGGCTCCAGGCCCCGATAAGCGGCCGCCAAGGAGTGAGCCGGTGTGTACCTGGACGCCCATCCCCAGACACAAAGAACCACCAACGCACCGATGTCTGAGGGAGTCCGCCACTGGCAGGGCAAGTGGTGGTGGGGGGAGATAGGCCTCCAAACCTTGGAGGGCCTGAGATGTCCCCAGAGAGGTGGCGTCTGATACCCAGCCTGACATATAGACACAGACATACAGGCACACACAGACACAAACATCCATTCCCACCCTCATGCTCTCATATGCACTTACTCCACACTCAACCAACGAGGAGACAGACATAAAGAGACGCTGTACACACGATCACACTCCCCAAGCGTACTCTACAAACCGGGTCTAGGTACCCTTGCCCCTGGAGGGGGGAACTGCACCCAGACCCAGGTGGTGTTACCCTTTTCCCTGCTACCTGCCAGAAAGCAGCCGGTAAGCGCATGGTCCCTCCTGCTAGCCCTCAATGTCTACGTGTATTTAACATTGAGAGGTGGGCAACGACGCCAGGGGTGGGGCGTACACCCTGATGGTACTTTGGACTCCGTGTATCGTGCCCACCCCCAAGATCCTATATGTATGCGTAATGAGAGTGTGAGTAATGTGAATGTCTAAGTTGTGGGATAAAATTGAGGCAGAGGCAGCCAGAAGGGGACAGAGGGGGGGGTAGCCTCCTCTGCACCCTGGTGACATACCCTTACTCCAAGGTCCTGCATGTGTGGGTGGTTGTGGTGGAGCGGGAAGAGGGAGGCAGCTGGAGATGGGGAGGAAAGGAAGGGAGGGGCAAGTGACCCCTCCCTGGGGCCAGCTCCCCCGCTGACCCCAGTAGGCACCCCCATACTCTGCGACCCGCCAGGGAAAGGGGGCCCAGGCCCATCCAGACCGGGGCCCAGTGCAGCAGTGCCTCCCAGCCCCACAGAGCCCGGGACAGTCCACCCAACCCCACCACAGAGAAAACTGCACCCACCCCACCATCCACTTATCTTCCAGACTACATAAGACAATAGACGCCAAGAGGGGGAAAAGAGAGAAAAAAAAATGAGAAGAAAAAAAAAAAACAGAAACAAAACGTAAACATTCCAATTAAATCACTGACGGAGAGTGACGGTGTTAATTCTGCTATGAAATCACACTTTAAGATGCGATTTGATACTGGTAAGTTAAACAGATGTTAATGCAAGTTAGTGTGAGTGGATAGGGAAATGGTGTAGCTGATTCTTATCTGGTGTGAGGTTAATACAGCCACGGAGTGATGTTGGGGTCGCAGTGGAGCTGTCCGTCCGCGTACAGCCGGTCCACAGCGATGACAGCGCGGGAGCCCTTCTGGATGAAGCCGCGTCGGATTGGGAAGAGGACCCTGCGTCGTTCCAAGATCTCTTTGGGGAACTGGTCGTTCACACTGAAGTCCGTTCCTTTTAATTCCCTGCCGCGGCTTTTCACATGTTGCTTTTGTTTGAAGTGGCCGAATTTGGCCACGATAGGACGTGGCCTCCCGGCCGTAGCCCGAATGGGGCCGAGGCGATGTACCCAATCAAAGACGATGTTCTTCACAGTGTCCTCCGGCAGCTTCAGGTGGGTTTTGATGAAGCTTTTTACCGTGGTCTCCGCGTCCTCTCCAGCGGCTTCTGGAATACCAGAAAATACCAGAT